CTTACTAGGAAGATTCTTGGAAAGAATCTTGGGCCAGTAGGCCATCCAAGAGTTCTTTCCAGGGTGGAGGAGACTAGTATTGCGGAGATACTTGGAGTGGTTGCAGAATGGGGTTTCCCGTTAACCAGGTGGGATGTGAGGAGTGTTATCGCAAAATACCTTGACAAACAAGGAAAACAAGTTAAGGTATTCAAAGAAAATATCCCCGGGGAAGATTTTCTGGATACATTTATAAAGAGAAACAATCTCTCCATCCTCCTTGCATCAAATATAAAAAGATCGAGATCCTCTGTCGACCGTGAAGACATTTTAAATTTTTTCGCCAATATTAATGACGCTCTGAATAATGCAGAAGATTTCAACATCTAAAATTATGATGAAATGAATGTGACTGATGATTCGGGAGCGAAAAAGATTGTGGTCCCAAGAAACACTAAAAGGGTTGAACGGGTGCAGAACCACTCATGCACCTCCATTAGTATCATGGTGTGCGGAAATGCAAAAGGGATTCTACTGCCTCCAGTAGTTGTTTATAAATCTGGAAAGTTATACGAAAACTGGACAGAGGGCGGCCCTCCTGGAACAAAATATGCCAGCAGCCCGTCTGGCTGGTTTGATATGAATTTGTTTGAGATGTGGTATTTTAAAATACTCCTCCCGCACATAATCGAAACCCGAAAAGACGACGCTACAACTATTGTTGTTGGTGATAATCTCGCCAGCCACTTTTCACCTGCAGTTATCAAGTCCTGTAAGGAGCATGGTATTTATTTACCTCCATTCCCTGCAAATGCCACCCATCTAATGTAGCCACTTGATGTGGCTGTATTTGGTTCCATGAAAAAGTGCTGGAGAAAGATTCTGGACAAATGGAGAAAGGAAAGCCGATATCCAGGAAATCTTCCCAAAGAGCATTTTCCAAATTTGCTCTCTAGGTTATAGAATGGCATATCTAAGAGTGTGTAAAAATTTTCTAATCAGTAAAAGAGAAAATCCAGAAAAAGTCCGAAAAAGGTGACCAAGTAGCCCCAGATTAAGGTATTTGAACCACTCTATCTCGGTTACTTTTGCGTTAAAGAATACTTTTAACCAGTTAAATTTAAAGAAAATTAAATTTTCTTCAACTTTACAAATAGGTGTATTCTGCTAAAAACGCATGGTTTAGACGTTATCCTTCGGCTTCCCCTCAAGTTAGCATAGGTTCCTCGAGCCCGAAAACTTACTTTTATTTCAAGCCTTCAAAAAATAACTTTTTGTAAGTGATTGTATAGTCAGAGCTGCTGGGCAACATGCGATTAATGATACCACATGCAGATGGATCAAGTCCATGCTAAAACACAGGACTATAAACTCGACTATTTTCACGAGAAAAAGAAATCTGGAGAACTTAATCGCCCCCAGTCTATTCCAAAAAACCTTGGAGTTTGGCAGGGTTAAATTTCTAGGCATCATCCTAGATATGAAGCTGACATGGAACCAACACATCCAAAAGATAACCACCAAAAGCAAGATGACGTTGATGTCACTAAAAAGAGCGATTGGGAAAATATGGAGACTAAAACCGTCAGTTTTACAATGGATATACACTACGGTTGTAAGACCAATGATAACATATGGTGCACTTGTATATAGTGGCCTAAAGTAAACCAAAGACAAGCAAACCTGGAGGTAGCCAAAATCCAGAGACTTGCGTGTCTTTGTATTACCCGTGCACAGAGAAGCACACCAATGGCAAATATGTCAACCTTTGGGAGAATACACAACTGTATTCCAAGCAGAAGTATATGCCATCGACTCCTGTCTGAGAGAAAACCTGAGGAGGGGATACACAGGTAAAAACATTCTTATCTGCTCAGACGGTCAAGCGTCGATCAAAGTACTCAACAGCTTTGAAATAAAATCCAAACTTTTCTGGAAATGCTTGGAAAACCTCAAAAACCTAAGTATAGCCAACAAGGTAACTGGGTGCCAGGGCATAAAGGAATTTGAAGGAAATGAAAAAGCAGATGCTCTGGCAAGGGAAGGATCGGCAACCAGTTATACTGGTATGGAACCGGAAATTGGCACCACAAAATCATCGGTAAGAACAAGAATAAACCAATGGGTGTATAGACAACACAAAACCTACAAGCAAACTCTTCCGAAGCTCAAATACAGTAAGCCAATGATACAACAACCATCACCTAAACTTACTGAAGAAATCCTACAAACTAAATAGGAATCAAATCAAGCTAATAACTGGACTTATAACTGGACACTGTAGCCTGAGAACACACCTTCACACAATGGGCAGCCGCCAAGAAGAACCCATATGCAGACTTTGTGACGAGGAGGATGAAACCGCGTAGGGCCAGAAGACCCTATCTCCAAACTCCCCAAAAGTAACACGGTGAAGAGGCTCCTAAACCTAATCAAGGTCACGAAACTTTCCACTGACTAATCAGACAAACAGGACAATATAATAAGTCGACGGCTGCAGTGTTGGGGCCACCTAACCTGGCCTGGTCATTCTGTATCTCAACTAACCAACTAACCAACCAACCAAATGATGTATAAGTTATGTGTTTACCTCGCTCTTTACTTACTCACCTAAATCAACTCGCTGTCTGAGGCAAAATCAGTGTTGCCAGAGTTTTTCGACGACGTTCCTTCCACTAAGTGGCTGAAACTAGAGATGTCACGAATATTCGGCTACTATTCGGTATTCGGCCATTTTTTTTTGTATTCGGTATTCGGCCGAATAGTATTATCCGGCCGAATATTTGGCCGAATACCGAAAGCTGAATAATGTATCTATTTAATAACAAGTCACAATGAATCTAATACTTAAAATCTATTAAATAGGCGACTTTTTATTAATTCCTGGTGCTATTTTGATAACTTTTGCTAAAGATAAACTGATAAACAGTAGTATAAGTAATAACGTGCGATCAAAAGAATATAGCTAATAGGTAATGCGTAAAATTGCGTATTGTGACACTATAATATTCTCAAGTAAACCAAATTCCGTCGTTACCGGAGGCGACGCGATAAGAATGAGACAGGTCTTAGGGGTCGTATTTTTGAATATTCTCGCATACGAAATTTGATATTTGATACGATTTCGAATGCTGCCCATTTAATTTACATTGCTGTCAGTCAAATTTCGTGTACGAAGTGTACTCGAATGAATTCCAAAAAACGGCCCCAACCTGTTGATAACGCACAAAACCCACAGATCTGCCGACGAATATTCGGCGCTACAAATGAGAGCGTGGCCGAATATTCGGTATTCGGTATTCGGCCAAATCACTATTCGTGGCATCTCTAGCTGAAACCCTTCATATCCTTCAAAATAGTGGCGGGGGGCCGGAACAACGACATATTTTACCAAAAAAAAAAAACTATAACATGAATGAAATTCTTTTAATAAAAATGAAACAAAAAAAAACAAAACAAACAAAATACTCATAGCTGCCCTAATGTCCGTATTACATCTGTTTATTTTCCCGTGTATTTATTCATGGAGTTCAGGGTGCCAACATTATTTTGTTTTTCATATTCCTAATGCTGATTTATGTTGCGTTCGAAGTTTTTCGGTTGTCACCCTGAACTACATGAATAAATCGACGGAAAAATACACAGATGTAATACGGGCATAAGGCACACTTATTGCGAATTCTATTGGTAGAACCAGTGCAGAAAATATGTATTTTTATCTCTTTTCTATAGAAGCTGTTAGAAAAAGACACGAATACATTCAGTGCGCACTAAACCTTCCAATAGAATTCGCTATTACATTCTGACGCAGTGGCATAGTGGAAATTGCCGTTTCGTATTTTTTCTCATGCAACTTAATTTATTTCAATAAATATTAATTTGTTGGTGAAATGATTGGAATATTTGCTTAACATACAATTTGCCTCAAAATCCTTCAAATTCAGATAAAAACCTTCAATCCTTCAGTAGTCAAAATTTTAGATCAAAACCCTTCATATTGAAGGAAATCCTTCAATTCTGGCAACACTGCAAAACCTTTTAGTGATGCCATGTATGTGAAATGGAAAGGGTACTTATCAACCAAAATCGCAAAAAAAAAAATATTTTTACCGGAAAATTCTTTGTACCAGTGCTAAATTTCGGGGGGTGGGGGGTTTAACCCACAACCCCCCCCCCCTTGGGTGCGCCACCGCGAACGACAGTTGAAACAGGATTTAATTAAATCCAGGAAATTCTGCAAGCATAACAAGACAAATGATTGAAATAAGAACAGGAAGTGAATGGCACTGCGGTTCCACAAATTACCTACTTCAGGAAGAAGAAGAATGAAGACAAATAGATATTGTCATGAGCTTCCAATATGTGGAGAGTTCGAGAAATATAGAAAGCTGTAGTAGAAATTAGAGTAAATATGCAATGGGGCCAGCTAAATAAATAAGTACGTCGGTGACCAAACGGAAAAGTCAAACCACTAAACTTTTGACCAAGAAACTAGCGTTTGATCCTGGTCAATGTATCAACGCAACGGGAGTTTGTGATTAGATCGAATATCCACAAACTGTCTTAAAATTCAAAATTTCTCCTGAAGATAGTGATAAAATAAGCGGAATCTCATCATTTTATGAAAGTTACAGTCAACACAGTGGTTTTTTACCTAATTTTAACCCAGTAACAACTTATGCATGCCTGGCAAAACAACTCGACCCTCAAATAATAATTTTAGTATCTCGTCGATCAGGATTTCTTTGGATGCTGGAAGCGTGTGTGTGGTGTTGATGCTGATCACATAAGCACCCATTTTATCCATACATCGTTTGACTATTCAAACGTAACGTAATCTTTTGACTGCCGGTTATTTCCAGCAAAGCCGTCGCTTTTAGATAATAATTTCTCTTCCCCCCCAGCTTCTATGGTTGAATTAACTGTTTGATGTTAATCGTTTCGAATGGACGCTTATGGGGATGGCCTAGATTTAAATTTTATCAAGCTTTTTTTTGTAATTTCGTTTTGGGGGTAAGTGTATTGATTTATTTTGTTCATCATAGGGTTTGGGTTATTTTTGACAATTATTGAGTTTTCCATTCTGAGTACAAAACATCTTGAGAAAAAACTACTATATACATTTATATTTGAATAAAGATAATTTATATCACAACCAATTTCTTCTCACAATCTCCGAAGCCATCACAACCAATTTGTCCTTATGCGATTGAGTCATATTCTGAATCATGCGAGTCATTGCATTCATGAAATCGAACTCTTCATTTAACGTCGTATCCACACCGGTATTCTTAGCAGCAAAAACGATCGGGGAAAACGTAAGCGCGTGCATGGATTCTGATTTTCTGGCAACAGTTTCAACTTCTTGCAAAAATTCTTCGTACGTTAAATTAAGGTTTGTTTCAGTGTATTTTAAAACTGCTGTGAATTCTTCATAATAGTACCTGAAAATTATTACCAATAATGCAGTTTCCTAAATAAAATGTGTTACTATTTATTACCTTAACAAATCGTCCAAATGTTCTCTAGTAACGTCATTTCTCACACTAGTTAACAAAAAAAATACCAAATCTCTTGCATATGAACCATAAGAATAAACTTGGAAATCTACCAATTTGACTCGAGGATCTTTTTTGTCTCTAACCATCATGTTGTTCAGCCAAAGATCACCATGAACAATAGTATTCCATGGTTCAGGTCCAGGAGGCATGGAAAAGCCCATGTCTCGTTCTTTTAGCAACAGTTTTTCTAATTTCATCACATAGGGGGCACAGTCTGGTAAATCGGCAATAGCATCCAGCAGCATCTCTTCAGGCTTTTTGACGCCAGGCGGAGGTCCAAAATGTTTGGGTTTTCCATCTGAACCTTTTGGAGGTTTCATCAGTGACAACTCCAAAAGACTTTTCAAGATTTTGAATTGATCGGGTTTTCGGATTTTCATCGCGATCGGGATTCCGTGGAAAATTGCTAAGGTTTTTAGGATTTCCTTGGTGGTTTCTAGGTCGAATCCTATGTATCTGTCTGCCATTTTGTATCCTCCTGAAATAAGGCGTTGCAAGTGAAAGTGTTTATTTATGGGTTTAGGAAATGTAGTGGTTAGCTCTTGATGAAATGAGCCAATAATTAAAAAAACAACTTCCAAATTTGCCTACCTTCTGTTGTTAAATTTTCAACTAACAAAACTGCTTCATTATCAGGTTCCTTTTTCAACGGATCCAAACTGTATCTGGAGCCGTAATAGGGAGCGAAGAAATTTTCAAACTTGTAACCGTATTCTTTTGCGAAAGCGGTTAATGAAGGCAAAATTTCCGCGTACCATCTAATTTCGTTTTTCGTCGTCGCTATACTCATGTTAAGATGTTTCGAACCAGCTGGAAATCGTTTAGCTACGGCATTGTGAGTTTTACTGTGACCATTTTTTTCTATGTCAAATTTTACCCCAAGTACCATACTAAGGTAATTTTCACCTGGGGCTGTGAGGCGTGTGACTTCCACATTTTTCACTTGACCATCGTGAGATTTGTTGATCACTTTTTCGATGCCTTTAATAGAGAATACTTGAGAAGGCATTTCGACCCTACGTAGAAAACCACTAGTATTATTTATCATTACCTGAACCTATTATAATTAATAAATATTTTTGATTATCTTATCAAATTTCACAAAAGCAGCAAGGTTATTACACTTGACTTAAAAAAAACCAACTCCTTATCATTGTGTTTGACGAGAAACAATTTCAAATATTTTTATTCGCCAAATAACAATCCATTCTAGGTTAGCTACTCCATAACCGATTTCAATCTGTGATTTTTTTTTCGCTTTTAAAAATTCAGATAGATCAACTCGACGGTTTGATAAACCAAATATTATTACTACGAGTATCGATTAATATGGTACAACTTCATTATTCTGGATTTAGAAAAACCAGAATGATCGAGATCAGTAGAAGCAGCTAATGTTTTATTTAATAGATATTCACTTTATACGTTCTATAGAATAAATCTTTATTTCTGAAAAGGGTAACGCAATTACATATATTTGTTATGTTGTATGACACCCGTCATAATCATCTGGGCACCTGCAGGTGACCATGTTATTGCGTTATGTTACATCCCCCTTTCTATACTAACAATAACAATACTAACTTAAAAGAATACACAAAAAATCTAACCTAATCTCTAAACTTATTGGGCAGTTTAACATGTCTGCCGAAACGAGTAATATAATTGTTGTTAGTCATATTTGGGTTATTGTCACAATCAGGTACATTATTATTGTCACTAGCCGAGACTCGAGACTACAATATTTTTGTTTAACGGTACACTCGTATTTTCAACGGTTACACTTGTCTTCAAGCTCACAGATACTGGGATATCATCTTGATTCACTGGGACACTCTCATTTGAACATTTTGATTTAGGATTTTGTCAGCAACTGGTAGACTAGATCTTAATATCTTTTTTTCAACAATTCTGAAGATGAGACACCGAGACCAGTTAGTGGAGACGTCCTATATTTCAACATAGCCTTATAAATATCACTCTCAGAATGAGCACACTTTTTGAGAGTGGACTTTGCTATTCCTACTGCCTTCTCAGCAAGCCCATTTGATTTAGGATATTTTGGGCTGGATGTAACTAACTCCACATCCCAAGCAATACCAAACTCTCTAAATTCTCTACTATTAAATGGCATGTTGTCAGAAACAAAGGTTTTTGGTATGCCATTTGCAGGAAAATTTTTCTTAAGATGGATAATAATTTCCTCGACTGTTTTATTTTCTAAAAGAACCAACTCTTACCAGTTACTAAAGTAATCAATCACAACAAGATCGTCTTTACCGGCATATATGAAAATATCTGCTGCAACCTTTTGAAAAGGAACTTGTGGCCTCTCATGCTGAATTAATGGCTTCTTGACATTATTTCTGCTAAATTATAAACACGATTTGCATTTAGATACAAAATTTTTCACGTCTGTTGAGAGACCAGGTCAATAGAATATTTTTCTGGCTCTTGCTTTAGATTTTTCAATACCAAAATGTCTTACATGTAACTTTGTCAACATCTCGGATCTTAATGTCTTGGGAACAACTAACTTGAAATTGTGGTAAAGTAAACCATTGTTGGTGTGTAAATCTTGTCTAGTTTTGTAAAAAGATTTAGTTCCTGGATTGGAAATAGATTTCTTATTTGATGGCTAGCCCGAGAAACAGTATTCAATAATTTGAGTTAACACGGAATCTTTAGTTGTGGCAGTTTTTAACTCATGGAGTTTTTGTGGAGAGATTGGTAGATTTACATCTATAGAGTGTATTACTTCTCTGATCTCAACGTCATCTTTCACAGCATGTTTCAAGTATGACCTGGACAAGACATCGGCAATATACATATATTTGCCATTTGGCAGATACTCGACTTTAAATTTATATTTTAACATTTTCAATTTTAACCTTTGTAAGCGAGAACTAATTTTGCAAATATCTTTTGTATTAATAGATACCAAAGGTTTATGATCACTTTTTACTAATATCTTACGACCATAAATGAAGTGGTGAAATTTTTACAAACTAAAAGAGATAGCCACATACTCCTTTTCTATTTGAGCCCACTTACGTTCGGTTTCATTCAGACTACGTGAACAAAATGCCACAGGTCTACCTTCTTGTAAAAGACACCCCCCAATACCATTTTGACTGGCATCTGTCTGAATTTCTACTGGCAATTTCGGATCAAATATTTTTAAATTAGGAATTTCAGTTATTATAGTTTTAACTTTGGAAAAAACAAAAGCATGATCTTTAGTCTATGTCTACTCAGCATCATTTCTTATCAGATTTTTCAATGGAGACAACAACTCAGACAATTTAGGCAAATATTTAGAAAGATAGTTTACCATACCTAGTATCCTTAACAGCTCTTTCTTATTTTCAGGTTCTTCTATTGCTAAAACAGCCTTTACATACTCAGGATCAGGTCGTATACCATCTACTGAGAAAACCTATATATAGCAAAACCTGTGAAACTTTGTATTGTACTTTGGTTTTATTGAATTTTACTCCATATTTATCTGCCCGTTTAATCATCTCCGCAAGAATCCATCATGTTCTTCCTCATTTATCCCGATAGGCAAATCTCCAAATATTTTGTCATTTATATTTTGGAAAAACTTCAGGACTCACACTTAGTCCAAATGGGAGTCGATTAAAAGAATATTTGCCAAAAGGCGTTATGAATGTACATAATTTTTTACTTGCAGCATCAAGGGGAACATGATAAAATCCTTCCTTTAGGTCTAACACTGTAAAAATCTTTTTGTCTTTTAAATTTAGTGTCAATTCTTCAACTGTTGGTATCGGATATTGATCAAAACATACATACTTATTCAAATGAACTAGATCAAGGCAAATACGTAACGCACCCGAAGGCTTCTCCACAAAAACTATGTTATTGACCCATTCGGTAGGTTCATCCATTTTAGAAATTATTTTCCTCCTACTTTCCAAGTCATCTAGCGAAGCCTTCAGCCTCGATCGTATTGCCTCTGGCACTTTTCTACAAGCGCTACTTACAGGTTGTGCATTGGATGCTAGAACAATATTATATTTATAGGGAATTTTGCCCGTGCCCTCAAATACTTTGGCATTCTTAATCAAAAAATGTTGTTTTTTATCCAGAACTTTAACAGAATCTACTCTTTTAAATAATTCTAACTTAGTGCAAGTATTTAATCCTAAAATGGGCATACTGTTACACTCTACAACTACAAATTTTATGTTCTGTTTCTTATTTTTAATCAAACATCTCAAGATAACATAGCCAATAGCTTTTATTTTATTGTGACCATAGGTATTCAGAGACAAATTATTTTGGATAATTTTATTCTCAAGTTTTAATTTTCTTAAAGTTTTTGCAGGTATGCAATTGCAATTTGCGCCTGTATCAAGCTTGAAAGTAACAAATTCATTATTAATTATCAAGTCCAAATTTCCTTATTTTGCCTATAATTTATACCTATTATCTAACACTATTGAGTCTATATATGGACCAGATGAAGCTTCACTCTTCTCAGAACTACTTTCGCTACTACTTTCAACCTCATATTTATATTTCTACGCTTTTTCTTTGTAAAATTCTTATCTCTAAAGTTCTTACCTTTACCTAACTTGCTGTCTTTGATTTTACAACCAACAGCAACCATACGCTTTGCAACTTTTTGGTCCATGTTTTGTATTGCATTTAAAGCAATTATATTCCTTTTCTTGTGTAGGACTACCATTACCTTTGTTGAACCTCATACTGTCTACTTGTTCAGTATTTTTTAAGCCTTTTTTTTTGTCGTTTACTTGCTTCTCACATCCTACACTGAGCCTCTGCTAATTCAAGTGTTAAGTTTTCTGTTCTCAATAACCTCTCCTGCAATGCGATGTCCGATATCAGTGAGTCATGCAGGTCGCCAAATTTGCAGTTTTTAGCCAATATTTTAATTTCGGTTAAAAAGTGATCGAACTCCTCACCTTCTTGCTGATTTCTGGTGAAAAACTTGAGCCTATCATATGTTTCGTTTCTTAGGGGCTTGCAGTATATTTCAATTGTTTTTATTACAGTTTCATAATTCTTACTTTCAACATCACTTAATTTAAATGTATTAAATACATCCTGAGTTTCCTCCCCTGCTAGGTTGAGGAACATTGCGATTCTTGTTTCATCATCTTTTTTGTCAAATCCAGTTGCTTTCATATAAATTTTAAAAGAACTCAAAAATTTCTCAAAACTTTGAGCTACATGCTGATCAATAGCTATGCTTTTTGGTGCTTTAAAAATTGCTGCCATATTGGGTGGTGTAATTTCTTTTCCAACCTTTTTCTACACAAGCTTTTATTCTAGCTACATTGTACAGATAATATTTTTCATCAACTGGCTGCAGAATCGGATTCTAGACCATTATAACATTTCGAGTTCACAAAATTGAATTTTTTAGACGAATGATCAATCATTGACTGGAAGACAGCATGCAAATTCTGCAGGAGTAGGAATAGCTGGTTGTATTGAAGCCAAATTCTTTAGAAGAAACAATCCTGCTAAGAGTCGATACTTAATAGGATCAGCATTCAAATCTTAACTCAGGATCGAATTGCCAAGAGGTAACGAATATCACGTCTCACTAGGATTACCAGCCAGATAGATACCCCCGACGCCCACCCTTCCATTTTGTCTGCTACCCCCGGAGACAAATCTTAGAGACGAGTCTCCAAGGATAGCGTCGGACAGTTAACCCGGTTTCGCGCCAAGCCGACTACGCACAACCAGAGCGGAATGGGACCAGAAACTCAATCGACCGAATGACATGGCACTGTTTAGCGCCAAGACAGTAACACGCAACCAAGACAACCAGCTCTCTTAGGAATAAAATAATACTATGATGGACATAGGTTTGTTCGCCAAGCGATAAAGAAAACAGCAAGATAATTGCATTTGCAATACTGAGGTAATGGTAGAACAACCACAAACCTATTCCTCAATGACCGAACATATCATATTCCTAAATGACATGTTAGGGTGATGCTAAAATTGCTAGTAGGATGTTACTGGTTAAG